ATACAGTATTTTTTAATGAAATGAATAAATTTTGAATTGAAGTGAATTGTTTTTTTTTTTCAAAACCTCATTTTCCAGTTTATCTAACATATCAGAGCCTGTAGGATGATTTAAATAACAATAAATAACATCAAACAGCCATCTTCCAACCTGTTCTGCCGCCAGAAATTAGTCTCAAACTTCTTCCACTCTCCACTCTAAATGGAGGAGAAGGTCAGGCTATTGGGGGGCGTTAAAGGTCTTCAATGAGTCTGTGAGGCAGAGAAACAGGAGATGAAACTTGTCTTAACGTTGTCAGGATGAAGCAGGGATACTGGAGCTGTGGAGCGTGACTGGAAATGGCTGACATTACTATGGAGAATAAAGACACCTGCTAAAATTAAAGAACAAAAAGATGCTCAGCTGCAGCGAGCAGAGGAGCTGAACGAGCCGGAAATTTAGCTTCTCTCTAGTTCTCGTGTCTCACGTATAAAAGCACAACAAAAGGAACATTACCACTGTTCACACTGGTATACTTGACCACAGTTGATTGTTCGTGCATGTTTTATAAGCTRGCATGTGAGCAGATCTGTCTCTGCTCATCATTAAGGATCTATTGGACAGTGTTGAGCTGAGAACAAGGTACTCGTCCAGCTCTGCCTTCACMGACTCTCCTGCTCACAGCCACCATGGAGGATCCCCGCTGCATTATTATCTCCCCGGTAAGAAGCCCACTCAGGTAAAAACACACACACTCAGAAATAATGAAAATAGTGAGTGTGCAGCTTCACAGCWCAAACACATTGGAGGATAGGTTTCCATCTGTCGGTGTGTTTCATTAGCCTGTCTGTCTTTCTGTTTGGGGCCCGTTCATGCCTTTGTTTCCTTTCGCTGTGCTTACCTGGGCTGACTGCAGGCTCTGAGAGTGGCAGGAGCTCACCTTATTACAGTCAGCCAGAGCCCAAGTGTGCCACACCCACCACCTCCACTCTCCACGTYCCCAAGCATTTCCATGTTCCAGGTAGGCTGGTGATGTTACCCCCGAGCCCTGCTCTGTTTACTAACCCAAAGAACCACAAACTGAATACTCATTATCAGCTCTGGCATGTGGGATTTTCAAACTGTTGTTTTTATTTCCATTTTTCACCACAATTATAAGTAAGTAAGTAAAATTTTATTTATATAGCGCCTTTCACAGAAATAAATTCACAAGGTGCTGTACATTCAGGGAGTGGGGAGGGGGCAGT